CCGGTGTGACGGGGGTATAAGTGATAAAATATACATGCACCATTCTTAAAAGAAATTCAAGTTTGCTGCAGATTTGTAAACTTTCTACAAGAGTACAAAACACGGGAGAATGATGCCTGAATTATTAAGGCCTAACTATGAGGCCTTTTACTATGAGGCATTAAATTATGATGCCCAACTAATTTATTAGGAAATAGCCGTTATCGGAATATTCTGACCAACGGTAGTTTCCCCGATATTATCAGCTACAAGAATGGCCGGATTGACAAGCTTGTATACTAAGACGAGCAGATTTTCTCCTCATTATTCTCACGCAGGTGTTACTCGGATATCGAATTTCATGGGCATTCCTGATTTTGAAAATGCTGAAAATTCCTTTTATTTTTTAGATCTTCCGATTTTGAAATTTCTGAAATTCAGTTCAAATAAATAATTCGAAATAAATATGTGAACGCGTTTTCATATTTTAATATGTTTTGGTCCAGGAACATATAGGTCCGGTAAATATCTATTTTTTACTAGACCGTATATGTCTAGTAAAGGATTTCGTCTTTTGGCGAGGACTGTTACAATTATTCTTCTGCTTAATTGGTTCTAACGATGATTCTACCAGATAGAAATCTACTTGATTGGCGGAGGCAGCAACACAGCTCTTAACACACACACTCCACTTATTTAATGCCTCGGTGAAACCTGTCTGTTCCAGCTAAACTTGTCCCCCGGTGAATTTGTGGTTTCAACTGCTGAGGGCAATTTTAACAGCCCATAGGGCCGCCCTTTATTGTCGAGAAAGTTTGCTGATGTTTATTTTCATGAAAAAAATATGCAAATGTAATTTCCACTTGTAGAGTTAACATAATTATTTCATATGTGGTATGTCATCATAGCATACAGTTTATGATATATCTTTGTCTCTCTGTGTACCGCAATACGTATTGTATTGTGACGTGTGTATCAAGATACCTAGAGTATTTTGACCATATATATACTTGGTTCTTAACGGTTTTTGAGTCATGGACCCTTTTGAGAATCTGGTGAAAGCTACAGACCCCTCCCATAAAAATGCACATAAGCAAATTTTGCATGCACCTGGTTCACGGACGGGGACGGACCCCAAAGGGGTCCATGGACCACAGGTTAATTAAGAACCCCTGCGCTAGGCGGTCGTTATTCTGCTAGCTGTACATAGCTGTGTGGTTCTTCGCACTGACGATGTGATGTTTTGTTTTCTGCTGTGATTAGGAGGAAGACGGGGCAGCAGCCGCCCGGCAGAGCTCGACCCCATGGACCCGGCTAGCTACTCCGACATTCCACGGTACGTGATCGACGTCAAGCGGGCGGGGGGGTGACGCTCACGTACGTGACCCGGCGTCGCGCGGTGACGCCCCGCGTGACCCCGCGTGACCCCATGACGCGCGGCGTCACCCCGCATGACCTCCGCGACGTGCGGTGACGCCTCGGCGTGACGCCCCCCGTCGACCCCATGACGCGCGGCGTCACCTGCCGCAGACCTGCTAGTGACCTCCCCCGAACACGCAAACGCGGGTCCGCGCATGACCATCGCGTGCGTGACCGTGGAAATATCTCGCAACACACTACTGCGAGTCGAGCAATTACAGCAGCTGGTGCACGGCCGGTTACCTCGACCACTCCAGATGTTTATGTAGCCTGCAATCATCCATGACCAGGACGCGACAGAAGTGGGCCAGCTCGCGTGGGCACGCAAAATCACACATCACTCGCAGATTTTCGCAGACCGTACAGCACAGATATTTCCCTGAAAGCACTCCATGATCGCATTGGCTTGCCAAGTGTTTATTTGTTAGAGCGCAACTTCCCTCGCTACCGGTGCAGCCTCCTTTACTCGGAACGAAGAAATTCCATGAAAACTACGGCCATACCGAGGGAATGCCAGAGTGGATTTATACAAAAGTAACAGCATTGCATTTGAGGAAAATAAAATTAATCTGTGTTAGATCCAGATTAAATTTATTTTTCCTGTGAACTATAGAGATCCGATGAAATTTTCCAGCATTGCATTTATTTTGGGTTAATTGCAATTATAATTGTAATTGTAATTGTTATAATTATAATTATATTTGGGTTATTTCCCAATGCTTAAGGGATGGATATACGGCACTGCTGAAGCCACCATAGAATGCTATTATGAACATGAGCCATGTTCAAGAACACTACAATACAGCCATGTAACGTCTATCTAACGACTTGTAATTACTAGATGTAAACAAGTGAAAAAACGTCCAGTGAATAGCACCAGTATGGATTTCAGGTATCGCTGCCATTATAAATTCTATATTAACTACTATATATATATCAGCAACACTTTGGCATATCATATTTTGGCGTAGAATTTTACGAGATTTCTCTCGCATACATGAGGTTGCACACCGCTGCAAGGCAAGTTATATTCTAACAAGTGAACACTGGCCAACAACAGATATCTATAGCCTACAGCGCAGACTCTGCGATTGTTGGGTTGCTCGTCCGCTGCAACCTGCAACCACAAGCGATCGTCGAATGTGTCGCCGCGTGTGCGCACACATGCGATTTTGAAGGCAATTCTAGAGCAATTTGAAGCGCATTGGAGGCGTGAGTCGCTCCAAAATCAAAAATAGTTTGATTTCTTGTAACTCGTCACAAAGCGACCAAAATCGCTACGGGTTGCAGTTGCACGTTCCTGCAGACGTAGCGATTTCACAGCAATTTTATAACGATTCTAGAATCGCTGTCGATTTGCATGAAAAAGTCGCAGGTCTGCGCTAGGCTATATCTGTGCTGTAGGTCTGCGAAAATCATGCGAGTGATGTGTGATTTGTGGGCCCACGCGGCTTGCCCACTTCTGTCCGGCGTCATGAGATAATTGCAGCTACATAAACATCTGGAGTGGTCGGAGGTAACCGCGTGCACCCAGCTGCTGTAATTGCTATACTCGCAGTAGGTGTTCGAGATATTTTGGGGTGATGCTCCATTAGGAGTGTTCTCAACTTTAATGTCATTAATGATCGTAATAACATATATATATATATATGGTCATGGTCGATATATTAGTTTGTGTGGTTTAATGTCATTTAGGTTAGGGTTAGGGTAGGATAAATCAATCATTAATCATTAATCATTAATCATTATTGATATCAAAGTTGGGAACACTCCTAATGGAGCGTTAGCCTATTTTCCCATTGTTTCATCATTCGTGTCATTCCCCGCATGCCGGGAATCTTACAAGCACGCGATCTTCCCTGAAGTCCGTTCCTCTCTCTGTCGTATTTCGTTGGCGTGATGCACGGATGCGATGCTTCAGCGAGATTAAGATTCCATGTAAATGTCGCACGAGCCTTGACGCACGTCATGCACACAGAGGAGCCGACGTGAAGTGCTAAATCCCGCGGATACTGGATTCTCCCTTCTCATTAGTTAGATCTTTATGGGTATCTTATTGTATCTCAAGTGTGGAAAATTTCCCTGCCCCGCTGCCCTGCACGGAACTATATAGTGGGGCGGATATGTGTCTGAGGTGTGCACTTCTGGAAAGAAGCGGCATGAACATTGCTCTAGGGGGTTTTGAGTATGCTGATTTCAAAAATTGCGGGAAACACGATGTCACTTCTTATACGTTTCCCGCCAAAAAATCAAAAATCAAAAATGGCCGCCAGAAAAAATGTTTTTGCGCCATAAATCAGCTGTAAGTGCCCCCGATTACCATGATCTTGGTGTATATACCTATGTTTTTGAAGTCAAAGAATGCAATAAAACACATGTCAAATATTATAAGATATAATCTTCCCGCCAAAAAGGTGTGCCCCAAGTACCATGATCTTGGTCTATATACATATGTTTTCGAGGTTAATGAACCCCATAGAACGGGTATAGAACACATTGTGATCTATCATAACATCTTCCGCCAAAAAAATAAATCCAAAATGGCTGCCACAAACGAATTTTTTTGCCATTAAAATGGCTATACGTGCCACGATTACCAGGATCTAGTTATAGGATACCTGTTTTTATGTCAAGGAACCCGATGGAAAACATAAAATATCCTAACATACATCTTCAAATTAAACAAAAACAATAATAAAACTGTTTTTTTTTAGGTCAAAGAACTGGGTAGAACACGTGAAAAATTATGATAAAAACTTAAGTATGCCATCTATAACTTCAGTTCATAATGTTCTGTTACACTTTGGAAGGTACGCTCTCGCGCGTCCGCCAAAACGTCGTTCCATCAGATTTCATGAAGACACAGTGCAACGCAATAGAAGGCACGGCGTGTAATGCCCGTGTAAAAGCAATTCAATGGTGTATCATGTATTATGTTAAAACATTCATGAATCTCTGTCAGTGTCTCATTATGATCAGATTTGCTGTCTTATTCTCTGTTACACTGTCCTGAACAGAAGCACATCTGTGTACCTGGAGCATCTTTTTGTACATGACCGTTTTGTAATCCCACATTAAACAGTCAGTTCCTGCCTAAGCTTTGGCTGCCTTCCTGAAGAGTGGTCCAGCATGGCAGTCCATGGAGGACATCATATCACTCTCTCACAGTCAACAAGCCCCATAAATCTTGTAAAAATAAGCCAATAAATCCATAACATCATCTGAAATAAAATCTCTGGCCTCAGTCTCCTCATAAGTGAAGTGTCCCGCCAGATGTGCCCTGCCTGATAAACAGCCCTTTTCACATGGCTGTCTCACCACGGGCACAATGCAAGTTCAGAGGAAATGTATTCCATCTTAACGGTTTTTGAGTGGAACAACCTGCTTTCCCTGGCCTTCATCTCAGCATGGCCGAGTGCTGATCGAGCAAAAATCGGTTTAAGATGTAGCAATACTGCACGCAAACAGCCACAAGCTGTCGTCTCCCTTCGCATGCACTGCAATTCCATGGAAGGCAGGAACAGTATGCATCTGATATTGCGTGGAAGATAGAAAACCCATGATTGCATCCATTGCTATCGGCTGGGCAGATTAGGTGGCAACTGCAATGTAAGTAGTAGTTATTGCACCATGACCAATGCTATCAATTATTTCCCAGTCCATGTAAAACACTTGACACTGCAATTGCGATAACCACCAATCAGTATCTGTTGGGCCATTGATCATCAGCATTGGTAAACCCATGATGGAATGAAATGGGAAGACATACAAACAGGGAGCCGTGGTCTGCTTCTTCTCGTGAGTGGCAGAACAAAATCTGACAGGTCAGCTATGGAGATGATACAGCAATCTGGCCATGTGTGGGTTTCACCTAAGCTTTTTGTGGAGGAGGTTGACAATCTTGTATTGCATTGGCTGAAAGTTGGAACAGGCTGTCTTTGTTGCATCACGGCGAAAGATGTTCTTTCTCGTTAACAGGAATCTTGGTGTTATTGTTCACTCCGGAGATTGATTACGCAGATCCACGGTTCTGTCGTGTTTGTGCCTTAGGCTGTCCCTGTAGACTCCCAGCACAACATGCTACGCGAATCAAACGTCTTGTACGCATGCGTTCTATATAGGCGAAGAACACCAATGTTTGAATAGTTCTGCGAATGGTTTTTGAGCAGAAAGTTGGACTTCTTGGGTTCCAAGCATGTGCATCAATGGCACACCGTCAACAATGTTGAAACCATCAACATTTGGAACAGGTTTCCGGATGTGGTCCAGATGACTCAGCAGCATTCCTCAAAGTCAGGATTGCTTGTTTGGCGCATGATACCATTTGAAGAGCCAACGATGGAGCGCCCAAGCAATTGAATTTCATGTGCGAAGCAGGCACTCCAATATCACTTTCTTACTTGACACGATATATACACGCCGTGCAGAAGAGATGAAAACTAATTGTGCAGGTTGGATATGGAAGTGGACTTCGCAGGTTTGCGTTCCCTGAAGCTAGAAATTCAACAGAGGCCAAGTGTACCTTGTATGGTGTCAGTGAATGCAGTGATATTGTCCAATGCTCCGCAATCAAATTTCTGATACTGGTGCTTTGCCTATGTCTTCTTGCGGACCTTATAAGTATCTACCACACCTAATGCGACAATTATCTGTTTGGTATCCAAGCAAGCCTTCTGCACACCTTGGTATTGTTCATGCGTGGCGTCTGTGTGCCTTACTTTTTAATTGAATGTTTTGTCATCATACTCATATTAATAGTACTGCTGTTTCTGGACCTGCCACCGATCCACCGTCTCAGTGCTGCTTCATTTTCAGTGATAGGCCTATTTACGCCTCCATCTCCCGAATCACCATTGCATTCAGCTGTCCATGAACTTCGATCATGGGCTAGTGCTGAGAATTGTGCATGGTTTTCTGTGTCACAAAGTTGCCATTGACGAAATGCTCTGCATCGTGGGCAGGGCCAGTTACTCGAGGGCAAGTTTATCTCTCACATGAAACCGGTCCATCCAGCGAGCAAGTGATAGTGGTCAAGAAGCGAACTTCACGGAATAAGTCTTTTCCAAGTGACTCCACATCAGGCAAGCATAATTTTTGTTGTACGCTGTGATCTAAGAGCCGACGTTTTGGCAGGCACGCAGGCGTAACTTCAAAGTGTAAGCAGAAACATTATGAATGAGTATAGATGGCATTATTTTTCATCATGATTTTCACATATGTGTAACGCGAAGTTCTTTGACCTAAAAACATTTTAATATTGTATTTGTTAATTTGAAAGATGTATGTTAGGATATTTCATGTTTTCCATGCAGGTTCCTTGACATAAAAACTGTTATAGATACCTAGATCCTGGTAACGCGTGGCACGTTATAGCCCATTTTATGGCCAAAGAATGCGTGTTTGTGGCAGCCATTTTGGATTAGATTTTTGGGCGGGAAGATGTTATGATAGTCACACATGGTTTCAATACCCGTTCTAGATGGGTTCAGTTGACCTCAAAAACATATGTAAAAACCAAGATCATGGTACTTGGTGGCACTAAGCAGCTGCATTCTATGGCAAAACTCAGTGTTTTGTGATGGAGCCATTTTGATGTTTCAATTTTTGGCCGGGAGATATAGTTTATGAATTTGACAAGCGTTTTATTGCATTCTTTGACTTCAAAAAACAATAGGTTATAAGACCGCCAGGAGTCATGGTAATCGGGGCACTTCAGCTGATTTATGGGCAAAAACATGCTTTTCTGGTGGCCAAATTTTTAATTTGTTGATTTTTTGGCGGTGAACCGTTGGAGTGACATGCGTGTTTCCCGGCAATTTTTGAAATCAGGCATACCAACAACACCCCCTAGAGCAAATTTTCATGCTTGCTTTCCCAGAAGTGCACACTCTTAAGTAAAAAATGTCGAACTATCCACCCCACTAATAGGTGTTGTTGTGTGACAACAGTAGATAACGTCCATTGGCAGCAGGACTGATCTTAATTAACAGCAACGGAAATTAATTAAAAATACTCTGAGAGTTTCGCCGCGCACACAACATATACTTTATTCATGCTAGATAACAACAGATTCAAGCTCTATGCTCCGCTCGAAATTTGCCGGTAAATAATGCGCATTTTTACAAAGATATTCGGATCCCGTTTCAAAGACAAAAATGCCTGAGCGATCACCATGGCTATGCTACTTGACGGAATAGCCCAATTACACGACATTAGCGACTGACATGCACTGTGTAGCGATTGTTACATGGTATGTATCAATTTCTAAATGGTGTGTAACAGTTGTCACACAGTGTGTAACAGTTGTCACACAGTGTGTAACAGTTTGTCACAACAGTGTGTAACAGCTTGTCACAGCTGCTGTAACAGTTGTCACACGAAGTGTGTACATAAAGTTGTCACACAGTTGTAAACACGTTGTAACAAGGAACATCGTCACACAGTGTGTAACAGTTGTGTCACAGACAGTGTTTTAAGCGAGTTGTCACCACAGTGTGTAACAGTTGTCACACAAGTGTGTAACAGTTGTCAACAGTGGCACAGTTGTAATGCATAGTCAATAGTGTGTAACAGATGTCAAGCACGTGTGTAACAGGTTGTTCAAACAGTGTGTATCGATCGGTTCACACAGTGTTCAACGAGTTGTCACACAGTGTGTAACAGTCCAGGCCAGCTGTGACAAGTTGTGTAACAGTTGTACAGCAGTTGTGTACAGTTGTCACACAGTGTGTAACAGTTGTCACACAGTGTGTAACAGTTGTCACACAGTGTGTAACAGTTGTCACACAGTGTGTAACAGTTGTCACACACGCTCGTGGTAAATGTCAAAGTTGTACAGTGTGTAACGATCGTCACATGGTGTGTAACAGTTGTCACACAGTGTGTAACGATCGTCACATGGTGTGTCACAATTTTTGCACAGTGTGTAACAATTGTGTTACACGGTGCGCGAAATAATGTTCTAACGTGTGCATCTGTGCTGCCTCTGCAGGGGCTCATGGTCGGATGGCCTCGACCAGAAGGGAGCAGCGAAGACCGGCGTAGACACCACTGCCTCGGACCCTTTACCAGATGCGTCCCTACCCGAGTCCCGGAGCTGTGCTCAGAGCCAACAGGGAGGTGCAGAAGTGAGCACTTTGACACTGGGAACGAGGTCCCATCGCGTGCCCGTGCGGAGGTTTTATTGAAGATATGCACCTAGAGCCTACCAGCTGAGGTTGGTCGGGCGACAGATGATGGGAGGCTGGTCACACGACAGATGATGGGAGGTTGCGTCGGGGACAGAATGGATGGGAGCTGGTCACACACAGCGACAGATATGGGAGGCTGGTCACGGCACAGTTGGCGCTGCACGACAGATGATGGGAGGCTGGTCACACGACAGATGATGGGAGGCTGGTCACACACACGACAGATGATGGGAGGCTGGTCACACACACGACAGATGATGGGAGGCTGGTCAGCACGACGACGATAGGCTGGTCACCGACGATGATGGGAGGCTGGTCACACACACCGTGAATGAGGCCTTAGTCCGGGTCGACAGATGATTGGACTAACTGCACAAGCGACTGAGAAGTGGTCCACACGACAGATGATGGGAGGCTGGTCACACACCGACAGATGATGGGGCTGGGTCAACAATGCAGGTGCGGCGACAGATGATGGGAGGCTGGTCAGATGATACTTTATAAGCTAATATTGTTTATAGCTTATAAGTATATAGTTTATAGTTATAAGTATATAGCTTGTAAGAATATAGTTTATAAGCTATAATCGTAGTCGCATATTTAAGCATTTGAGCAACACGAAGAAAGCTGACAGATGTCGTGTGTCATGTGAGTCACTGCTGGTACCTGGGATTTTGGTGGGTGGCGCGGTTACAGCATCATGGGGTTCATGTGCTAATAATTATAATTTTCGGGTGCCCTACTGGCCTAGTGGTAGTGAAGAGATTCCTCTCAGTTTCCACTGACGGTGCCCGCCGGCACTACAAGGCTGTCCTTTCTTGGCACCGTTGTCCACACACTCATCCACTTTTGCTCGAGTACTAAGCAGAGAAGCAGTGTGTACTATTTTCCAAGTCTAATTTTTCATGTGCTAATTTAACGTTCTTGAAATGTTGCGCAGCACGCGATTCCACACAGTTTTGAGACATAATATATTAGCTTTAGCCACCATTCCACTTCTAGATAGGTGTCTAGTAGCACTGCCTAATGGAAACGCTTGTCAGGATTAGTGAACTGGAAGTGACGCGTGTGACAGAGAGAGAGACAGAGGAGAGAGAGAGAGAGAGAGAGAAAGAAAACGGGGGGAGAGACAGTGAGGTGAGTTGAGAGAGCGAAGAGAGAGGGGGAAGGGAAGAAAGAGAGAGAGAAGGGAAAGAAAGAGAGAGAGAAGAGTGAATAAATATTTTCCTCCCGCTCACTCTCTCCGCTGTCTCGTCTTTCAACCTCTCGGTTCGCTCGCTGGCTCTCCGCCCACGCGCTTTTCTGTATGTCCTATACCCTCTCTCTCATTCTCTTCCGCGCTCATGTTTACTCGCTAATTTGTCACACCTAGTCACGCACAGCTACGCATCGCAGCCGCACACTCCCACAGGTACATCGCGTATCAACTCTCTTGTGTCTGTCTTCTCCTCGTCTCTCTTCTCTCTCTCCCTCTCTCTGCTCTCTCTCTCTCTCTCTCACTGTCTCTCTCTTTCTGCTCTCCGACCTCTCTCCCTGCCTCTCTCTTTCTCTGCTCTCTTTCCGCGATCCCTGCTCCCCTGGCTCCATTTCCTGCTCTCGTGCCTCATCAGCACGACATAGTCTGTATCTGCACCCTCTCTTTCTCGCTCTTGTTTTCCCTTCAGTTCGTGTACCATTTATATGCATCGTATTACGTGAGCAGTGCAATTCCATCCAACATTTTTCAAAAAAAATATTATTCAAAAAGTTCTTGTTACCTGCTTAATTTTACTCTTTTGTCTCAATATATTTTTAGCAGGCGCGTGTGATTAGATTCGCCCACGATGTTCTATGGAATCAATTCTCTGTATACATACATCAATGAAAACGCGCACGTGCCGCACGTACAGACACCCCGCATCGCTATACACACACACAACACACACAGCCACAGACACACACAACAGGTCGACACACCAGCACACACAACTACCACAGCGGTCCCACACACACACGACACAACACACCACTTCCCTCGACCACAGCACACACAACACACATCCGCAGACACACACCTACCATGCAGCAGGGAAGGGGGCAGTATATTTATGTCATCAAGAAGCTAATAATACCTTATGATTAGGCTCTTGATGTACGTAAAAAATCGTAGAGCAGCCTTATCACTACATCTCCTACATCCATGCATGCGTGTTTGTGTGTACGCTTAACCACACTACGTATCGTATGGCACATCTCTTGCAACATCGCGGCATTCGGGACAACCATTCCAACAGCTACGGAGCTTCGACAACGCAAAACTAGTTTGAACAGATGGAAAAAGGTCAACCAAAAACCCAGCCGTCTCAGAACTTGCTGTAACTCCTAGCTCTAGTACTATGCCCGCGATCGCTGCCGCAGGATCCGCGGCTAAAGTACTAGAGCCTAAGTAAATTTCGCGTGATAGCAGTTCAAATTCAGCGCGAACGATCTAAGACGCGACGCGGAAGGTGCAGATTGCGTCCACTGTTACGTTCCAACATACCTGGACTACGAACGACAAATACACACACGCATCACACCCACATACAAGCGCATGCAACCGTATACACGCGCACTGCACACGTAATGCAACGCGCACGAGGCACACCGTATACACAGCGCACGCACCCGTATACACCGCCACTGCCAGCCCGTATACCGCGCACCACACTCCGTATACACGCGCGGACAAGCACATCCGTATACACGCGCACGAACAACGTATACACGCGCACGCACCCGTATACACGTGCAAAGCGCAGCGAGAGAGACTTCTAATCAGTAAGTTGCTTGGGATCGCGCCGCATACGGACTATCTCGCGTCGCTTATCCTATCACAGCTACATCCCAGACGCGCCTCCCTCTAAATTGCCTAGATATCTCCTTCACGCCTGTACAGATTCAAGAGAACATAAAACTTAGTTTTTCTCTCTTCTCTCTCTCTCTCTCATCTCTCCTCTCTCTGCTCTCTCTCTCGTCTCTCTCGGTCTCTCTCTCTCATCTTCCTCATCAGCCTCTATCGCCCTCTCTCTCTCTCTCTCTCTCTGCCTTCTCTCTCTCCTCTCTCTCCTTCTCTCTCTCTCTCTCTCCTCTCCTCCCTGCCTCCTCCTCTCTCTCTCTCTCTGTCTGTCTCTCTCTTTCTATCTCCCACCCCCTCTCGTCTCTCACACACAACAACGCGCCACACACGACCGTACACGCCTCACACACAATATCAATGTACTGCTGTCATAGCCAGGCTGCCCTACCAGATGAGTCGCGGGCTTCACTAATAATGACATAGTGGCCTGTGCGCGTGGAGGGCTGAGCAGACTGCTTTACACAAAGATCACGCGGCGATGGTCATCCGCTCCGCATAAGACCGTCCGTGTTTTATGTTGCACTCGCCGCTGCCGCTAATCGCTGTTGCTGTAGCTTTATGTACAACTGGAGACACTGGCCGCGCCATCAAGCATTCATATCTCTCCATTTCACCTCGCGCTGAATCAACACCCACCATCACTCTCAAGTTTACGGCAGCCCCACACAACGCGCGAAGCTGCGACACGTAACATATTAATGTATGTATAGAGAGAGTGTCTATAAATGAATCCGTAATATTGAGGCCAAATGACGGCATGACGTCACTGATGCGCCCTCGTGTGATGAGCCGAGCCTGTCGTTTGTCGCTGTCGCTAATAATTATGAGAAATAACCGTATATGTATGAATATCCCCCCTCGCCCCTCCCCATACTACGTGGTCCTTATAATATAATCATTTACGGGTCCGCAAGATGTGATGGAGCCTTACTTAGTGTATGTCTCGATGCTAGTCAGATGTTGATGAATTATAGCCTGATATATATCATATATATCATAATATAATATATGAGAGAGAGAGAGAGAGAGAAGCGAAGAGAGAGGAAAGAGAGAGAGAGAGAGAGAGAGAGAGAGGGGGAGGGAGGGAGGGAGGAGGAGGAGGAGGGAGGAGGGAGAAGCCAGAGAGAGAGAGAGAGAGAGAGAGAGGAGAGGAGAGAGAGGAGAGGCAGAGATGTTGTGCGCTGACCGTCTAGTAAAAGCCTGAGCCTCAATTGCATGAAATGGTCAAGCTATATGCTATGTCTATATGGCTATTGTTATATGCTATGTGATGCTATGTGCTATGCATGTGCTATATCTATGTCTATAGTCATGCCTATGCCATGGCTTCACTGTCAGGGGGTCACTGGCAATCAATAAACGACCTCCTCATCCTCATCCTCCTCTTCTCCGTGCTCCACCTCTAGCATCCCTGCCTCCTGTTCCTCTTCAATACACTCTTCTATACTACTACTGCTCTATATATACTATAAACACAACATAATAACCACCTATACAATACTACTATATATATAATATTAATATACTACTAGCTATACTATACTACTATATACACTACAATACTTATAACCTATACATACTACTATATATATAATTATATATTATATAGCTATATTAAACACATAATAACCTAAAACTACTATATATTATACTCACTATACAACACTATACTATATTTATACTACAACTAATACTAAAACTACTATAATACAGATACTATAACACTATAATACTACTATATATATATATATATACTACTATAACACTAGCTATATTTATACTACACTACTAAATAAACTACAGATACTATAACACTATAATACTACTATATATATATATATAACTACATAATACTACTATATACATAAATACCTCACTATAACACTAACGATATTTATACTACACACTACTATAATACTATAATACTAACTATAATACTATAATACTACTATAAACTACAACACAATACTATAACATCTATATAACTACTATATATATATATATATACTACTATAATACTCCTATATTATACTACTATAACACTACGATATTTATACTACACTACTATAATACTATAATACTATAATACTAACTAATAATATACAATACTATAACACCTATAATAACTACATATATATATATACTACATAACATACTATTTTATTACTACACTATACTACACTTACTACTAATATACACTTCTACACTTCTATAATTTACTTATTATACCTATTACTTTCTGTATAGTATCTTCCCGTTCCTTCATCATCTCCTTCCTTTTCCCACCCCTCTTTCCTTGCCTTCTGCCGCCTTACTTAACACGCGCAACATCATTGTCCTGCTACTCTCTCTTCCTCCTCCTATCGGGGGCGCCTGCAGCCCTCCGCTTCCTCC